TTGATACGTCAGAAATCTTCATGTAGGTACTGAAATATTTCTAGGAAACGTTGTTCAGTGGAAAACTGTTGAAATACTTAGACTAGATAAACGTAGACCAGCATTTTAACTATAAACCTAGATTTATTAATATCTTACGTGGCTTGCCACGACACGAAAGTCAAATCGATGATACTGTCGACCATTACTTACTTTAATGGTCCATTTAAATCATGTTGGTCTCACACGCTGATATGATGTAAGATCGCCTAGATTCGTAAATTTTATCGATAAAATGTAGTACCCTCATCGGATTATTAGAAATTATGACGTTTTTAAGAAGACAAAATGATTTAGCTAGATATTTAATGATTATAACCGATGGTCTTTAGGCACGGTACAAATGACCGCGTGCGATTCTGTTTGACACAGGTTTGACGTATCGTACGACTGCTCGCTCACTCGCCCGCCACCAGCACAGATAATAATTTTTGACCGTGCCTTCGACACAATCAAGAGGACGACACAACAAAAACATAATTAGGAAAGTTACGAGTAGTAGATGAGATAAGAAAAGGTAAAAATGGAGTAAACACAGATTTAGGAAGAAGAGTAAAGAAATGAACAAGTTCATGAATTGGTCCCGGATTGTAATCTAAAAGAAAAACAAAGATCTGTTCGGAAAGGTTTTCGCGGATTCAGCTTATTTCAACATCAAAACCTCGGCTTCAAAGGCAAAGCGATGGTTGAAAGATGCTTTATGGCAGATTTAAATATTGTACATATAGAGTTAAACTTCCATGCTCAACATTTTTTGTTTCTCTTTGGGGCACGTACGTATTTTCCGCAATAAATTAATCCGGGTTTGCGTAGGTAACGTCGATTAAATCTTTAGATTACCCGCTGCCGACGGGTTATGTTTTCAAGAGTATGAATGTAGGTATGTAAACAAGATTGCCGTGTGATGCCGGCTTAGAATGTCATCACCCCATATCTTACCCGTGGGTGTCGTAAGAGGCGACTAAGGGATAAATTCATCCAGGGGTCCAATCACTGGATGAATTTCACAATCGCATTGCAACATGTTGCATTGCGCTCACCAACCCGCCTGCCAAGCGTGGTGAGTATGGCAAATACCCCCCTAATAGGGGGAGGCCCATGTTCAGCAGTGGACTTTATTGTGGCTGTTATGATGATGTAAACAAGAAATTCGTTTTCATGGGCTACAGCCCAAGCGGCTGGGTGGATCTTGACATGTAAAACACTAGTTATAAATAAAAACTTTATAAATTCATGATGGCGTATTTTTATCGCAAATTACGGCTTTGAAATTTCCGCAGTCGGGTTTTTATTTTAATACATCTAAATATTAAAGTCTGTCAATGTTAAAGTCACATTCCTGCCGGCAAGCCCGTAATTTACACATTGTTTCGCACATCCGGATTTCCTGGAAATTTTGGGTATCGTACACAATGTTTGTTTTCTTAGAACCATACGGTTAGAATGCCAATGCCAAAGCGGAACAAAGTCATATTTGCATTTCACTTCATATTTGCCAGTCGTAATTACTTGTCTGAGGGTACGGTTCTGTGTGAAATCCCTCAGGATAATAATTTATTCTACAAAATCTATGTTATTTTTACCCGACTGCTTCAGAAGGAGGGGTCGGTGACAAGTCAACAGTCATCAGTCAACAGCCAACTCATCAACCGTCCTATACAATGGCTGCATTTGGATGTGTGGTGTTCGTAAAGTACCGTTGAGGGTTACGTTTTTCGAGAGTATGTAGGTATGTATGTGGACAAGTGCATTCTTTTCCCGGGGCTTGCCCGTGACGTATGGGGTTGCGTTAGATTCGTCTCAGCAGCGCGAGTGACACTGGCTAAGTTAAATCGTAGATTCAAAATGGCGGATTTTTTAAGAAAAATTACTTTTAAATTGAATACCAAATTTTTAAAACACTGTTCGTGTTAGGTATAACATTTTTGGAAAACTTGCAAAATTTTCCACCGCAGGCAGGATTTGAACCTGCGACCTTCGGCATCTGTATAGTGGACAAGATATACTTGCTAAATTCGCAGGCTCGTTTAGAACCGCGGTAGCCTAGTTGGTAGTGGCGTCGGCAGCACCATGGCAGTACAGATGCCGAAGGTCGCAGGTTCAAATCCTGCCTGCGGTGGAAAATTTTGAAAGTTTAAATAAAAAACTTTTAAATTACTGCAATCGGATATTGTTTTTAAATAGTTAACCTTGTTGATGTTGAACTAAATAAAAAAATACCTACTATTGCCATAGAAAATTTTCCTTCATGGTGTAGTCGTTTGAGTTTGGTCTACCTATTATGTAGACATTCTATTTTATCGGTATCGGAATCCCAAACTCCTACTGCCTAAAATTATGATCCTGTGCTTTCAACTGTCTTTCTCGGTTGCTGTACTTACATGATTAATGATTATACATACCTACGACCTAAGAAAGCAGCTGTTAGACAGCCATGACAGAGGCCTTACAATTTGAAAACTCTGATACTAGGGTTCTTCGCGTCCTTCATCGAATTGGTGTTCTAGGAGTGTTTTTGTTGTAAGAAAAATAAGTTCATGTTGAACCCTTTTCAAATTTTCCTTTAATTTTTTTATTTCGGCTAAAAGAATAAAATTGTAGTTCATTTTATTCAGATGGTTGATTTAAATCACTTGCTCAAATCGAATAAGAAAATCGGCTATAAAGAGTGGTTTTACTGAGCTTTTAGGCAAAAAACACACGTAACGTCCGTTAGTGCGTTATGTTCGCGCAGCGCAATCGCATGCTTTACAAAAATTCGATTTTCCACTTTATTTTCATACAAATACGGTTTCTATGCCCCAGTTTGACAAACGCAGCGTTGGGCGATGCGCAGTGCTAGCGGATGCGTCTGTCAAACCGTTTGACATAAACCATATTTGTATGGGAATAAGCTCCAAATTCATATTCTTCTAAACATGCGCAAAAATAACGCACAAACGGACGTAACGTGTGTTTCTCGCCTTACGACAGATGGGCAAAATATTTTCTTAAAGGTAGGTACATCTTTTTTTGTTTGATATTTTTTGTTAATCCATCAATTTGTCATCGTTATATAAAAATACCTTATGTTACATTGTGAGTGAGTAATGTGTTCATGTATAGACAGATTTAGATTTGTATTGAGGTTGACATATTCAGGTACAAAAGGTCTAAAAATAAGTAAGCTAAAGTAAATTGGATTGAATATAAAGGGCTTGGCTAAATGTTCATACAACAAAAACCCAGAATCGCCAGCAACGAAATGCATATAAATAGGTTCACTAGGGCATTGCTATTTAATTAAAAAAATATACAGGGTCCTACCTCATCTAGTATAGAAAATATTAGATGGAATAGATAAACCTTATACGAGAGGCCGGTCCAGTGGTTACTAACCACCGAGTATATCTTGTACCTACTCAGTTTTAGGTAGTTTGTCAAATAAATACATAAAATATAATCTTGTATCTAGTTAAATGACAACTAGGAAAAATATGTTTGATTCAAAGATAAAATATATTATAAAATATCTTGGATCACTATGCTAAATACACCAAGAACCCAGATTTGTCTGGAACGAAATGTAGTATACAGGATGTAAAAAGAAACAACCGCAAATATTTTAAGGGGTGAACCAGCCCATGAAACTGAACAACTTTCTCCAAGGGACATAGGTCGAAGGACGAAAAAGAATTTTGGCTCTCCCATACAAATTGACTTGGTCGGCTGGTACATTTTGTATGGGAGTTCAAAATATTTTTTTCATATTTCGGCCTATGTTTCTTGGGGAAAGTTGTTCAGTTTCATGGGCTGGTTCACCCCTTAACAATGCCCTAGTGAACCTATTTATATGCATTTCGTTGCTGGCGATTCTGGGTTTTTGTTGTATGAACATTTAGCCAAGCCCTTTATATTCAATCCAATTTACTTTAGCTTACTTATTTTTAGACCTTTTGTACCTGAATATGTCAACCTCAATACAAATCTAAATCTGTCTATACATGAACACATTACTCACTCACAATGTAACATAAGGTATTTTTATATAACGATGACAAATTGATGGATTAACAAAAAATATCAAACGAAAAAAGATGTACCTACCTTTAAGAAAATATTTTGCCCATCTGTCGTAAGGCGAGAAACACACGTTACGTCCGTTTGTGCGTTATTTTTGCGCATGTTTAGAAGAATATGAATTTGGAGCTTATTCCCATACAAATATGGTTTATGTCAAACGGTTTGACAGACGCATCCGCTAGCACTGCGCATCGCCCAACGCTGCGTTTGTCAAACTGGGGCATAGAAACCGTATTTGTATGAAAATAAAGTGGAAAATCGAATTTTTGTAAAGCATGCGATTGCGCTGCGCGAACATAACGCACTAACGGACGTTACGTGTGTTTTTTGCCTAAAAGCTCAGTAAAACCACTCTTTATAGCCGATTTTCTTATTCGATTTGAGCAAGTGATTTAAATCAACCATCTGAATAAAATGAACTACAATTTTATTCTTTTAGCCGAAATAAAAAAAATTAAAGGAAAATTTGAAAAGGGTTCAACATGAACTTATTTTTCTTACAACAAAAACACTCCTAGAACACCAATTCGATGAAGGACGCGAAGAACCCTAGTATCAGAGTTTTCAAATTGTAAGGCCTCTGTCATGGCTGTCTAACAGCTGCTTTCTTAGGTCGTAGGTATGTATAATCATTAATCATGTAAGTACAGCAACCGAGAAAGACAGTTGAAAGCACAGGATCATAATTTTAGGCAGTAGGAGTTTGGGATTCCGATACCGATAAAATAGAATGTCTACATAATAGGTAGACCAAACTCAAACGACTACACCATGAAGGAAAATTTTCTATGGCAATAGTAGGTATTTTTTTATTTAGTTCAACATCAACAAGGTTAACTATTTAAAACAATATCCGATTGCAGTAATTTAAAAGTTTTATTGAAACTTGCAAAATTTTCCACCGCAGGCAGGATTTGAACCTGCGACCTTCGGCATCTGTACTGCCATGGTGCTGCCGACGCCACTACCAACTAGGCTACCGCGGTTCTAAACGAGCCTGCGAATTTAGCAAGTATATCTTGTCCACTATACAGATGCCGAAGGTCGCAGGTTCAAATCCTGCCTGCGGTGGAAAATTTTGCAAGTTTTCCAAAAATGTTATACCTAACACGAACAGTGTTTTAAAAATTTGGTATTCAATTTAAAAGTAATTTTTCTTAAAAAATCCGCCATTTTGAATCTACGATTTAACTTAGCCAGTGTCACTCGCGCTGCTGAGACGAATCTAACGCAACCCCATACGTCACGGGCAAGCCCCGGGAAAAGAATGCACTTGTCCACATACATACATACATACTCTCGAAAAACGTAACCCTCAACGGTACTTTACGAACACCACACATCCAAATGCAGCCATTGTATAGGACGGTTGATGAGTTGGCTGTTGACTGATGACTGTTGACTTGTCACCGACCCCTCCTTCTGAATCAGTCGGGTAAAAATAACAGATTTTGTAGAATAAATTATTATCCTGAGGGATTTCACACAGAACCGTAACCTCAGACAAGTAATTACGACTGACAAATATGAAGTGAAACGCAAATATGACTTTGTTCCGCTTTGGCATTGGCATTCTAACCGTACGGTTCCAAGAAAACAAACATTGTGTACGATACCCAAAATTTCCAGGAAATCCGGATGTGCGAAACAATGTGTAAATTACGGGCTTGCCGGCAGGAATGTGACTTTAACATTGACAGACTTTAATATTTAGATGTATTAAAATAAAAACCCGACTGCGGAAATTTCAAAGCCGTAATTTGCGATAAAAATACGCCATCATGAATTTATAAAGTTTTTATTTATAACTAGTGTTTTACATGTCAAGATCCACCCAGCCGCTTGGGCTGTAGCCCATGAAAACGAATTTCTTGTTTACATCATCATAACAGCCACAATAAAGTCCACTGCTGAACATGGGCCTCCCCCTATTAGGGGGGTATTTGCCATACTCACCACGCTTGGCAGGCGGGTTGGTGAGCGCAATGCAACATGTTGCAATGCGATTGTGAAATTCATCCAGTGATTGGACCCCTGGATGAATTTATCCCTTAGTCGCCTCTTACGACACCCACGGGTAAGATATGGGGTGATGACATTCTAAGCCGGCATCACACGGCAATCTTGTTTACATACCTACATTCATACTCTTGAAAAACATAACCCGTCGGCAGCGGGGTAATCTAAAGATTTAATCGACGTTACCTACGCAAAACCCGGATTAATTTATTGCGGAAAATACGTACGTGCCCCAAAAGAGAAACAAAAAAATGTTGAGCATGGAAGTTTAACTCTATATGTACAATATTTAAATCTGCCATAAAAGCATCTTTCAACCATCGCTTTGCCTTTGAAGCCGAGGTTTTGATGTTGAAATAAGCTGAATCCGCGAAAACCTTTCCGAACAGATCTTTGTTTTTCTTTTAGATTACAATCCGGGACCAATTCATGAACTTGTTCATTTCTTTACTCTTCTTCCTAAATCTGTGTTTACTCCATTTTTACCTTTTCTTATCTCATCTACTACTCGTAACTTTCCTAATTATGTTTTTGTTGTGTCGTCCTCTTGATTGTGTCGAAGGCACGGTCAAAAATTATTATCTGTGCTGGTGGCGGGCGAGTGAGCGAGCAGTCGTACGATACGTCAAACCTGTGTCAAACAGAATCGCACGCGGTCATTTGTACCGTGCCTAAAGACCATCGGTTATAATCATTAAATATCTAGCTAAATCATTTTGTCTTCTTAAAAACGTCATAATTTCTAATAATCCGATGAGGGTACTACATTTTATCGATAAAATTTACGAATCTAGGCGATCTTACATCATATCAGCGTGTGAGACCAACATGATTTAAATGGACCATTAAAGTAAGTAATGGTCGACAGTATCATCGATTTGACTTTCGTGTCGTGGCAAGCCACGTAAGATATTAATAAATCTAGGTTTATAGTTAAAATGCTGGTCTACGTTTATCTAGTCTAAGTATTTCAACAGTTTTCCACTGAACAACGTTTCCTAGAAATATTTCAGTACCTACATGAAGATTTCTGACGTATCAAATCGAATTGATTTAATCATATTAACTGTAGAATTTTGAAATTAAGTTGTAGAGAAAAGGAAGTCGATGTGCGCATCGCCTACATGAAGTTTTACTTTTCCTAGTAAAGAGTAGGTATAGGTATTCTGTGGTAAAGACTGATTGTGATTTGTGATTGATTAAATTCGAATTAAATGTCGTTTTATTTCGATTCTCGACAGGAAAGTAGTCTTCATGGTCTGGCCGCATCAGCACTTTCAGCATTTTTGAAGATTCGTCCCTTACACCTCGTATAGTTCTATAATTAAATTATTTTCTAAGATAATCTAGTTATAAATTTCACAAAGTTCTCGTCAATTCTGAAGAGCTGCGTCAAATGAATGAGTGCCAGCGCTCATTACTTTTATAACTCGTTGAAATCCAGTTTTTGAACTGAAAATATTCAATGAAAATTCAATTTAAATACTTACCTCTCTGGTAAAACCCAGTTTGACACACGAAACAGAATTCCTGATTCGTCAGAGCTTTTTATCTAACGGGAGCCCCCTGATTTGATTGGCAGAGTACCTATTAGACTATAGTCAATACAATAACTTTTGATAATAATTTTATAATAAAATTAATAATAATAATTATGACTATAGTTTTACGAGGCTATAACGCAGTCTACCGCAGTTGTACCTACAGTCAGTCAGACAAATAATTACTCAAATATAAATTGATATTTTTATTTCACTCTCGAGTCGAAAGCACTAGAAGTTGAGAACACTAAGTTCTTCACTGTTATTTATCGCGAGCTAGACGAACTTCACAACTCGTTAGAAACCGGGGCGAGACGCATTTAAACTCTAGCCTTTTCATACTACTAATAGGCGAATATGCTAATACCATTCCCGAAGTAAACAAAAATTGGAAAAGTTTTTCTTAATTTTTGCAAACGCTCGTTGGGGCCCCTGCAGCCTGGGAGCCCTGTATCATTGATACAGCTAAAACATAGGTCAATATGAAAAAAAATGAGCTTCCCATACAAATTGACTTGGTCGGGTGGTATAGGAGGGTCCAATTTTTTTTCATAATACGACTAGGGCTATAGGTAGGTATGTATTTCTTGAGAAAAGTTGCTCGTTATTGCCAGCCTATCCTATGGTTCCAGTACCGGTCACTATTAAGATAGAAAATTAAAAATTCGTGCAAAGTGGTACTGTGGCTACACGGGACTAAGTCCTCACTTCAGCTCATCAAATTTTGTCGTATGACACATTGAATTTCCAAATGAAGTTTGATCATTAAAATGTCCTAAAGAGGATTTCGTGCTGCGTTTTAGTTCAAGCTCACAGTGAATAGTGAAATTAAGTTTATTACTAGCTTTTGCTGAAATGTCTGCTCCCTTTTGGACATATATCTCCGACAGGATTTTCTATTTGAAATGGGACCTTTTCCATTTAACGAGGCAACTGGGGAAAACTGATAAAAATACTTATTCATTATTTCCTTTGTTCACAAAATGAAATAAAATTATCAATCTCGCTACGTGAACCATCTATTAATAATATTTTTTTGGATTCTTCATTTGATTTTTTTACACAAACGAAATTCTGCTGTGTGATGCCGGCTTAGAATAGCATCACCCCATATCTTTCCCGTGAGAGTCGTAAGAAGCGACTTAAGGATTGGAGTGTATTGCAATTTTAGGCGACAACCTGTCACTATGATGATACACATTCTACTAAATGGCTCTCCGTTTACGCTCTGCCTACCCCGCAAGGGATATAGGCGTGATATATGTATGTACGTAAGTTGCAAAACTCTGACATCAGGGTTCACCGTATCGTTGGAAGAGTCTGTGTCCTACTCGAAAAGCAAGAGACCAAATAACTTAGTATTAAATATTACTTAGATCCTGATATTTGTAAAAGGCCATGCCTACGAAAGTGGCATGGATGTTCGTCTATTATTTGCCTCACAACTTGAAAGCCTCGCATCAAAGTCAAAGTTAAATAGAGTGTAACTACTGCTTAACTATTTGTCACTGAACACAACTGAAATTGATTTAACACGTTCCCGGACACTAAGTCACACGACTTTGACACTGCTTTTTTTGTATGAAAAGCTATAGCAGTTCTGTCACATAGGTCGCAATACGCGTAATTAAATTGTGACACTAACTGCTAAAGCCTTCGACTGCTACTGCAGCTCTGTCATATGCAATAGTAAGTAGACACTGTTAAGTGCGGCAGAACGGCTATAGCAGCGAATGTTAATGCAGCTCTGTCACTTGCTACAGTCAGATGTTGCTATAAATCGCGACAGAACTGTTCTAATAGCTGACCTGATTACACTACCACCAGGCTCTTGGAAAGATAGGCGTCTCCCAATATTGATGTGTTAATCATGGTTTATCATCCATGTTTGAACTTATATCTTGTTTTGATCAGATATGTCTTGTTGTTGATCAGGAGATTCCTTTAGACAAGACCTTAGGTGTCTCCTCCAAAAATCATTGATTCGGCAGGTTCTTTGGAAGATACGCCTCGCACAACATCGATCTGAGGATCGTGGATCAACGTTAATGTTTCTACTTCCATCTTGTTTTCATTATAAAGTTAATATTTTTCTTATCAGGGCAATTATGAAATTTGTTATCTCATAAAGCTGTAGTGTGGATTTACAAGTACGTAGAAGTAAGCAATTTTTCCGTGATAAAAAGCTACCTATTTATAATCTACCAGTTTTATCCAAGCTACAAGCCATAAGAATGTAAATAAGTAACAAGAACACATACTCAAACCCTTAAAATATTACTCAGTTAGTACAAGTGGGATGCTTAGCAAATTTCTATTATAGAAATTTGACATTTTATCGAGAAAATAAGTAAAATCATAAAAATCAGGGTTAGTCTAGCCTTCTAATAGTCAAAGAATTTTTGAAATCGGTTTGTATTTACGAG